AGCCCCTTTATATATTTTAAAAAGATGTATGTGTTTATGTGTGACTGTGTGTGTGGGAATGTGTATGTGAATACAGGTGCCTGGTATGGGTGCTGGGGACCAAACTCAGATCCCCCACAAGAGCAGTGTGCATGCTCTCAACTGCTTTGTGATCTCTTCAGCCCTGGTTTTATATTACCTTAAGGGTATTCCTTAAAACCATCAAGCAATCATCAGTATAATATTTAAAGTTCTTATTTGTTGTTACTGTATGTGTGCCTATGGACTATGTGTGTATATGTTCAGATCTGGAGTGCTTAGGGAGGTCCGAAGACAACTTTCTACAGTGGGTTCTCTCCTTCTAATCCTCCATTCTCTGTTTTCCATCTCTGCATCCAAGTGCTGGGATTATGGACACAAGGTGTAGCATCTGGCCTTTTGTGGATTGTGGATCAAATTCAGGTCATCAGGGTCATTCAATAAGCACATTTACCCACGGAGCCATCTTGTAAGCCCTGGGGATATTTTGAAGATAGTCTTCACTTATTGAACATGCTTTTCTCTAGCTAAAAGAATATATGAAAAGGGGCTGATAAGATGGCTCAGCAGGTAAAGGTGCTTGTAGTACAAGCCTGGTGACGTGGGTTTGGTTCCTGGACCCATGTAAAAATAGAGGGAGATGGTCAATGCCACAAAGGTATCTTTTGACCCGGTGTATAACCCCCTCAGCACGCACGCACGCGCGCGCACACACACACACACACACACACACACACACACACTTTTTGAAAAAAGAATATACACAAAAAGAATAAAATTAGGTCATTACCACTACCACATAGGTGATGAGAGGCCCTGGGAGAAGAAATACATATAGTCAAGGATAGTAGACTTAGAGCAGTGGTTCTCAGCCTCCCTAATGCCACGACCCTTTAATACACTTCCTCATGCTGTGGCTACTTCATAACTGTCATTTTATGAACTTCTGTTCATAACTACTGTTATGAACCATAATATAAATACCTGTGTTTTCCAGTGGTCTTAGATGATCCCTGTGAAAAGGTCATTCAATCCAAAGGGCCACAGCCCACAAGTTTAGAAATGCTGGCTTAGAATCTAGACCAGCACTTGGCTGTCTTCAAGTCTGTAACAAGTCAGTCTGTCTGTTACAATTGGGTGCTTTTGTGGTTGGTCGTCTTTGGACTGGGTGTTTCTCTGATGTCTGGCAGATGCTATGTCAATTCACTTCAGTTTTCCTTTTACAGACCACCCACTACCACTCTGATCTCGCCCCTAGCTCAGTCTTCAGAAGTGGTGGTTTTGAGGGACATTGCTAAGTGTGGGCATTTATTCAAATCTCTAGATAGATAATTTCCCAGAGACTGATTAAAGTCAGAAGGTTCTTTATTCGATTGGGCAGCAGGTGGCAGTAGAGACCACATAATCATCGTTTCTTTTTTTTTTCTTTTAATTTTAAATAGCTTGTTTTACATGCCAATCTCAGTTCCCTCTCCCTCCCCATCTCCCGCACCTCCCCCCCACTCCCCCCCCCCTCCTGCCAACTCCTTCCACATAGGGGGCATCCAGAGTCACTTCACTCAGGGTAGGGCCCAGGCAGTCCCCTAAGAGTCCAGGCTGAGAGAGCATCCCTCCCCGTGTCATGGACACATGATGTCCGTCAGTATTTGAGGGATAAACACTGATCCACTGCTCAGGACCCCATAGGTTGCCCAGGCCTCCTCACTGACTCTCACATTCAGGGGGTCTGGATCAGTCCCATGCTGGTTCAAGAGCTCTCCCCTGTTTGGATCAGCTGTCTCTGCTGTTTTTGCCAGCCCATTCTCTGCCAATTTGCTCATGGCTCCTCTCTCTCTCTGCCGCTGGGTTCCTTGGGTTCAGTTCAGTGTTTAACTGGGTATTTGCCTCTGCTTCCATCAGTCACTGGATGAAGGCTCCAGGATGGTCATAGACATCAAGTTCATTATCAGGAATGGGCATTTGAGGTGGTCTCTACACTATTGCTTAGCTTGCCAATTGGTGTCATCCCTTTAGATCACTAGAGGTCACAATGGTACCTGATCTGTCTTCTAACCTATGATTCCCTCTTCCCCCTATCCTACCCCTCCAGTCAACCTTCCTGTTCCCCCAAGACCTACTCTCTCTTCCTCTTCTCCCCCTCTCTTCTTCCCAGCTCCCACTCCCCCCCCTCGCTGTGTTCCCCATCTGTTCAGAGGATCTTGCCTCATTTCTCTTCTCTTGGGTACCATGCATATCTTTTATGTTCTTTCCTGTTTCCCAGACTCTCTGTCATTGGAAGTGCAGACTGGCACTCTCCTGATCCATGTCTAAAATCCATATATGAGTGAGACATACCATGTTTGCTTTTTTGTGACTGGGTTACCTCACTCAGGATGGTTTCTTCCAGTACTATCCATTTACCTGCGAATTTCAAGATCCCATTGTTTTTTTCTGCTGAGTAATACTCCATTGTGTAAATGTACCACATTTTCTCTATCCACTCTTCAGTTGAGGGGCATCTAGGTTGCTTCCAGGCTCTGGTTATTACAAATAATGATGCTATGAACATAGTGGAACAGATGCCCTTGTTGTATGAATTTGCCTCTTTTGGATATATGCCTAAGAATGGAATTGCTGGGTCTTGTGGTAGATTGATTCCCATTTTCCTGAGGAATCTCCATACTGATTTCCAAAGTGGCTGTATGAGTTGGCACTCCCACCAGCAGTGGAGGAGTGTTTCCCTCTCTCCACATCCTCTCCAGCATAAATTGTCTTAGGTGTTTTTGATTTTAGCCATTCTGACGGGAGTAAGATGGTATCTCAAAGTTGTTTTGATTTGCATTTCCATGATGGCTAAGGATGTTGAACACTTTCTTAAGTATCTCTTGGCCATTTTAGCCTCCTCTATTGAGAATTCTCTGTTTAGTTCTGTACCCCACCTTTTAATTGGATCCTTTGGTGTTTTGGAGACTTGCTTCTTGAGTTCTTTGTAAATTTTGGAGATTAGCCCTCTGTCAGATGTGGGGTTAGTGAATATTTTTTCCCATTCTGTGGACTACCTTTTTGTCTTGTGGACTGTGTCCTTTGCCTTACAGAAGCTTTTCATGAGGTCCCATTTGTTAATTGTCAATCTCAGTGTCTGTGCCACTGGTGTTATGTTCAGGAAGTGGTCTCCTGTACCAATTCGTTGAAGAGTATCTCCCACTTTCTCTTCTAAAAGTTTCAGTGAGGCTGGATTTATGTTGAGATCTTTGATCCATTTGGACTTAAGTTTTGTACAAAGCGATAAACATGGATCTATCTGCAGTCTTCTGCATACCAGTGCCCAATTATGCCAGCACCATTTGTTGAAGATGCTTTCTTTTTTCCATTGTATAGTTTTAGCTTCTTTGTCAAAAATCAAGTGTTCATAGGTGTGTGGGTTAAAATCAGGGTTTTCAATTCGGCTCCATTGGTCAACCTGCCTATTTTTGTGCCAATACCAAGCTGTTTTCAGGACTATAGCTCTATAATAGAGCTTGAAGTCATGTATGGTGATGCCTCCTGAAGTTCCTTTATTGTATAGGGTTGTTTTGGCTATCCTGGGCCTTTTGTTTTTCCATTAAACATTGATTGATGTTCTTTCCAGGTCTGTAAAGAATTGTGCCAGAATTTTGATAGGGATTGTATTGAATCTGTAGACTGCTTTTGGCAAGATTGCCATTTTTATTATGTTGATCCTACCAATCCAAGAGCATGGGAGGTCTTTCCATTTTCTGGTATCCTCTTTGATTTCTTTCTTTAAAGACTCAAAGTACTTCAACTAATTGGTCTGCAGTCAGTATTTCCAGTGCAGTTTCTGTCTTGCATGCCAAGGTAGCCAAGAATTTGTCACTATGCCTCAAGCAAGCCACATTTCCACATTTTTCATCTGCTTAAACTATTTCCTCCTGGAATTTATTATTTACCCATCTGCTGGACTTCTTAAAACCCAGCTCAGAACAATTTGCTCTCAGAAGCTTTCTTTTTCCCTCTGAGACAATCAGTAAACTTTTGCTTGTCATATTACTTGTTTGACTCCCCCAATTCACCTGAACTTCCAGAGGACAGGAACCATTTTGTTGTTCTGGGATGCGTGTATCTGATACTTAGGGCATCTTAGGTAAACACGTTTTAAATTTAAGTTTTTAATTTAATTAATGGGTAGGTGATGGCTGTGGGGGCTGCCTTGCCATAGGTTCCATTTGGATTACTTACAGGATTTTATTCTTTTGAGATAGACTCTGAGCTCACCATCCTCCTGTCTCAACCCTCCAGTGCTAGGATTACAGATATATATGCTACACCTGATTCTCTGACAGCATTTAATAGATGCTGACCTTCTGAGACAAAGGATCCAAACACAGCTAGTCGATGTTGGACGAGAGCAATGGAGATTACACCTGAATGCCCTTTCGTTTGAAAGCACTGAAAATCAGCATTGGCTTGTTCCATAAGGCTAAGGGTTCTGAAGGATGAATCTGTTTTCAGGTCTGAGTCTGGTTTGAGAAGGTCGTTGCATGACATCTCCTGCTGATTGTAGTGTCAAAGTTTTCCTTTATTTTCCACTATGCTGCCTAGAATAGACAGGAACTCCTAAAATCAATCCTCCGGGCTCAGCCACCAGAGTAACTCGGGTGACAATGCACTAGGGTTTCCTTTAAGGACACTCTCAATGTGGTACTGGGTTGGAGCGCATCTGATAAGGGTACCAGCCACTGGATTTTCCAATTCTAACCCAGAGCTGTCAAAAATGGAGTGAAAGGGGAAGACAAACTATCGTGGGCAATTTAAAAATCCAGGCCTCTGGCTCCCACCCACTCACTGCCCCAGGGTATTTCTGACTGCCTAGCAAAGACTGAACAGCAGGAGGGGCAAGTGACTGCATCCAAGCGGACTGACGTGCTCCAAGTGCCGAAACCACCCGGAGGAGCGCTTCCGGCGGGGGAGGGCCGAGCATGTACTGCGCAGTCGCGGAGGGAGGGGCTGGTCTCGGCAGGGAAGGCGGAAGTGCAGGTCACTCCCGGATAGCTGGCCTGAGAATCATGAGCGTGGCAGGTGGCGTTCGTCGCCGCGCGCGACTGTCACGTCTCGTGTCCTTCAGTGCGAGCCACCGGCTGCACAGGTGGGGTGTAACCACGTGTGTCACCGCCAGCGCGGGGCGTTTCCCGCCACGTCCCCGGGGGCGTGGCCTCACGCGTGGGTTTGAGGCGATCTGGGGAGGGCGGAAGAGGAAATGGTAAAGGTACGGAGCCGCAGTACTGGGCCTCACCCGGGAGAGGGCGGTAGAGCTCTGATCCCCGAGGCTCCACTTTGGAGAGGTTCCCTCTGGGGCTGCCCCAAGTTCAGAGTCATGCCACTCACCCGCATCATACCGTTTCCAGAGCATCCTAAGGCACAATGACAGGAGCATGAAAGCTATCGGGTGCAACACATGGTAGCAACCCGTGACCCTAAAAAAAAAAAAAAAAAAAAGCGAGCAGCGCGGTCGGGAATTGAATCCCAGATACCCAACTCAGCACCTGAGAGTTTCGTTTTGAAGGGAGTTCGCTACTCACTAGAGGTCTGCTCCCTGAACCTCCATTTCCTTGTCTGTGAGATGAGAACAGTCATTTCTAACAGCATCCTCTCACTCCTTAATGGACAATGATTTTTTTTGTTCCATGCTAGGAGACGGGGACATTGCAGGGAATACTAAATACTCCCGTATGTAGAGTTTAAAATGGTGGCCAAGTTTTGTACATTGAGATAATTTTCTGCAAAACCTTGTGAACTGTAGTGCTCGCTAAGTGTAAGCAGAAGGAGAAAGTCAATGGGATAAGAAAGATCTTAAAGAATTTAAATTAAAAAAATATTGTGTTTGTGTGTTATGTGCACAGCTTACATGAAGCAGCCTCTGGAAGCCAAAAGAGGGCATTAGATTCCTTGGAACTGGAGTTATAGGTAGTTGTCATGTGGGCACTGGGAGCTGAACCTTGGTCCTTTTCCATAGCAGTAAGCATTCTTACCTGCTAAGCCATCTCCAGCCCTCAAAATGATTTTTATAATGGGAAGCTTAAACATAAAGTTAATAAGGATACAGACGATAAGGAGTTTGCTGAGTTGGGATAGATACACAAATTCGTTGAGTAAATTGTTTTCTGTCTGGAATGACAGCTATTGGAAGTGATTTTAAAGTTTTACCTGATTTGAGTGTCCCTGAACATACTGGTAAGGTGTCCACTAGGCAATAGTTAATTCAGGGAAGAGTGAGTTTGTTAAAAGAAGAGCATGAGGTCGTTGTTTTCCGGGAGAAATGAGATTTTTAAGCTGGGGGACAAGTATCTCTTGTGCTTTGTCATTACTCCTTGCTTTCTTCTGCCCTTGTCCCGTAACTAATACTCAGTGTTCCTTGAATTGAAAATTGGAGGTGGGATGTAGCTCAGAGGGTAGAGTGCTTGACTAGTGTGAGCCCAGGACTCCATCCCCTGCCCTGCATAAGTCAGTATGTGTTGCCAGATCCCAGTACTTGTGAGGCAGAAGCAAGAGAATCAGAAGTTCAAAGTCATGCTAAGCTACATGGTGACTTTGAGGCCAGCTTAGGATACAGGAGACCTTGCCAAAAGATAGGGGGCAGAGAGCAAGGGCTGACTGTGAGAGAATTTGTTGGAATCTTGATGTGAACTAAGTGAGTTGAAATTAAGGCTGTTGATAATTTTATGTGGCACTGTAGTTCATTAGGGAGTGTGCGTTGGTTCTTGATGGAAAGGTGGATAGTGGAATCCAAGTGATCTCTTTGGTTGATGATCTAGCGTGAAATTAAGGTGTAGCGTTCTCAAAAGCCAGAGCAATGCTAACGGAGGAATGTGGCTGTCTAATTGGCTCACACTGACTTTCTCTGTCTTTCTTTCATCAGCCCGTCTCTGAGTGATGAAGAGAACTTGGAAGTGTTTGGGAAATGCAACAATCCAAATGGCCATGGACACAATTATAAAGGTGAGGGAAGAACACAGTGACTTCTAACCTGTGAGTAAGAATGAAGTGTGTGTAATTAGGTACAGGGGTCATGACTGAGAAGCCTCGTGGACAGTGTCAGTGCTCTGAGCCCTTCAGTGGAAATTCAAGACAAAGAGCTATTGTCTTGGTTGGGTAAGTGTATGGTTTGCCTCGCAGTTGTCTACTCTGTTAAAGGTAGTAGAAAACATCAGCAACAAAAATGATTTATAGTGTTTTCTTTGGCATTTGAATACATAATAAGACTGCTGTTAGCCATTTCCTTTTAATTAGGCTAGATTGAAACTAATGCTAAAATTTGATTATAATCAATGTTTGAGGAGACAGGTATGTTTAACTTGATTTAAACATCACACTATGTATATATGGATTGAAACATCAAATAGTAGCCCTTTATATGTAGATTTAAAATATTTTTATGTATCAGTTGAAATTTAAAATTAAAAAACCTTCATAACAGAATAACTAAAAAATTTTATTTTGAGTGAAAAATGGCCAATGAAAAGGGTCTGTTGCTTAGGGATGTATTATGTGCCAGAAAATAGTTTATATATAAAATTTTGCTGGCAGTATTGTAAGAAAGAGGTTTGTGTGGGGGAAAGGGGCATTCTTCTTTGAGACTTGCCTGGTGCCTCAAATCACGATACCTAAGCCCTAGCCTTGAGGTAGGGTTACATAAAGCTTCGGCAGATCACAACTTCTGGTTTAGTTCCTGACTCTTCCTTTGTCTGAGATGCCTCCCAACCTCAGTGTACTTACTCACCATGGACTCTCCAGTAGTGTGTGTGTGTGTGTGTGTGTGTGTTAAGGAAATACAAAAGTTTTCAAATGCTCTGCATGAACACCTATTTTCAGCAGAGCATTTCTGTGAGCCGAGTACACATCCTCGAAAGTAAAAGATGAGTACTTTTGCCTGTGGAGGGATTGGACACGCACATGCATCTTCCACTTTTCCAGGAAGACACTGAGTGACATCTCCTCTTCAACCTTACCAGCAGAATTCACACCTTTGGGGATCTGGCTCATTTCCTCTGCTCAGTCAAAGCTCCCACCAAGTTTCTCTGGGCTGAGTCTTGCACTGATTGATAAAAAGATTTTAATGAAAAGAATAGATATTTGGAGAAAAATTGAAGTATATCCTTGGGGGCTGAGGTCTAACAATTTATATTGCTGACTTGTGAATATATGCTGATCTGTTGAAAGTCATACTTTTGTGTTGGTATTTTTGTTTTCTTTCTCCTAGTTGTGGTGACAGTACATGGAGAGGTACGTGCTGGAAATGGTGTGTGGATTTGTTCAGATTGCTGGGCCATCTTCAGACACTGTGGTGAAATCTGTGTTGAAAGCTTGGGTTTCAGTTGCTTCATTGCTGGCCTTTCTGTGTTGTGAGCCGCTGCCGTGCCAGGCCTCTCTGTTATATATGGATGGGCAGAAGGTCCATCCAATGAAAAGGGTGCTGGGAGTACATGGTGCTTCTGCACCCAGAACAAGAAAGATCCCTCAGATAAAGGAAAATGTGGGCGCAATCTGCATGTTGTACCGCCTTTAGTGACTGGCAAAGTTATTTCACTTTTGAGACAGGATCTCATGTAGCCTACTAGGCTGGGCTTGAACTTGTTGTGTATCCAAGAAAGGCTTTGAACTCCAGGTCCTCCTGCTTCTGCTTCACATGTGCTAAGGTTACAGGCCTGAGCCACCCATCCAGTTTTGGGCAAGTGTAAATATGGAGAGCCTACTACAATGATAGACACCCTTTTTTCTTCCTTAGATTGATCCTGCCACAGGAATGGTTATGAATTTGACTGACCTCAAAGAATACATGGAGGTAATACCGTATTGGGTGCTTATTATGTGGTACCCCCTCAGTATAATCTGTAGTACCCCTGTTTGCCTTGTCTCTTGAGATGCCATGACTGTATGAGTTGGGGTAGGTGGGAGATTGGAGAAGGTTTATAGCAACTACTTTTTGGTCTTCTAAGGACTTAATAGGAAGTAGTAGAGGTTGTGTTGTAGTGATGGGGAGAAACATTACATGCTTATCTCCTTTTCATTGGAAGAGACCCATGTTTTCTTTTTATCAAAACTGCCCTTCTTTCACAATACAGCCTTTTCTTTGAAGTTTTCGCTAGTTGTACCCTTGATTATAAAAATTTAAAAATACCACACCTTTTTCTAATGATTTTTTTTTCTCTTGGCCATCCTGGAACTTACTGTTGTAGACCAGGCGGGCTGGCCTCAAACTCACAGAGATCCACCTGTCTCTGCCTCTCCATTGCTGGGATTAAAGGTGTGTGCCACCATGCCCAGCCTCTTTTTTCTTTTTTAAGATTTATTTTTAATTTTGTGAATCAGCTTTTAAAGCTTCAGTATTGTAAATACAAAGATGAATGAAGAAGTCCTAGCCCCGTAAATATACAAGTGCAGGCAACAGTAGAGGCCAGAAGCCTTGGATTTCTACAAGCGGAGTGACAGATAGTTGTGAGCTGTTCCATGTGAGTTTTGGAAACCCAACCTGAGCATCAAGGGCTGTTTGCCATCTTGAACCATTTCTGAAGCCCCAAGATTACACTTACTTGACAGCTGTAGCTCTATGCTAAGTTTTTAAGGCAATTCATCATAGAGATAACACATCAGAGTGTAATCAGTAAAAGGCTTCTTGATTGTATTAATTGTATGATTCTTGTGTTGCAAGAGATTTTAGAGATTATTTATACCAGTTTCTTTATTTCATAGGTTAAAACTGAGGGATGCTGGACAGTTAACTTTATTACCCCAGGTTATGTGGTCATTCTTGTTCACAAGGTTGAGGATTTTTTCACCTAGAGTCCATTTTCCCACTATTTCAACCTACTTGTTTAGTTTTTCATTTCAGCTGACTTTTATTCTTAAAGTTGGCAGATGTTTTGTAGAACAATGTTACAAATAATTACTCTCTCATGTTGTTCATATATTCAACAAATTTGCTTCTTTGCATCATTTTTAAAAAGCTAATTATTGGAAATACAAAGATGAATGAATGAAACATAGCCCACAGAACATATGCATTGTCTTTTCTAGGAGGTAAAGAGTAGTAAATGGTCAAAAAGTATTGAGTAAGGGCATAAGGGAATGAATGAGTGAATGAATGAATGAGTGAATAGCTCTGTGCTTATTAATTTAGAGAACTTCTAAAAACAGGGACTTTGCCAGGCGGTGGTGGCACACACGTTTAGTCCCAGCACTTGGGAGGCAGAGGCAGGCAGATCTCTCTGAGTTCGAGGCCAGCTTGGTCTACAAGAGCTAGTTCCAGGACAACCTCCATAGCCACAGAGAAACCCTGTCTTGAGAAACCAAAAAAAGAAAAAAGACAGGGGCTTTGAATTTAGAGGGGCGCAGAACATAACATATGCAGTACTGTGCGCTATAAGACACCAGCCCAAGAAGCCTCAGCAGTGAAGGATCGAATACTTAGAGAGCGCTTGGGGTTTTCTTCCTTCTTTGGTTGCCTAAATTATTACACATTTCCACCAGTAAAAGTGGCTTCCTGTGGCCATAGAGTGAAGTTAGAGTCCTGTAGAAACTGCAGTGGATAAATTGGAGCTAGAACTGGGGTCCAAGATAGACCAAAAATACTTATTTTCTTGGTATTCACATCTCTTCATTTGATTTACTTTTAAAAATCAAGTGGTTTAGGAGTTGATTTAGGAATCTCTCTTTTTGTATGATTCCAGTTCTGTTGAAGAAAACAAGTTATTAGTGTACCTTCAGGAAATTTGTTTCACACATGCTTAAACTTTTGTAGAAGAGCTAATGATAAAAATTTAGAAAGAATAAGGCAATTAAAATCTTTGCAAATGACAAGAAGAAACATTATGTTAACATATGTAAACATCAGGGAGTGATGAGGACATGTTTACTTTTTTTCTTCTAAGACAGAAGGTCATTGTTAAATTTTTCTTCGGGATAGAAATTTAGAAAATGTCCATCATTTTAGATGAGGCCTTAATGGCACAGGGCACTGTGTAGATGACACCATGCTGTAGGAGAGAGTTTCTAGTAACTTTTTAGATATAATTCAAGAAGTGCTAAAATGAACTGTGTGAATCCCAAGGGTTCTGTTTCTAGGAAGTCCCAGGAACTCTGTCGCTGTGGTTTCTTCCCTCTGCATTAGGAGCAAGGATCTGCAGTCATTACAGGGAGCTGGGCCCAACTTTGTTTCACAGCCTTGTCGGACTACTTCCCAGTGTTGAGTCTTGGCTAAGTGAGAGGGAGAGACTCTGAGGCCTGGGGGAAGGAACCCTTCATTACTGAGTTATAAACACTCAGTGGTGTTCCCTCTCCTGTCTGCAGGAGGCCATCATGAAGCCGCTTGATCACAAGAACCTGGATCTGGACGTGCCCTACTTTGCAGACGTTGTAAGGTGTGTGTCACTGTCTCGCCTTGAGCAGGAGAAATGAAACAAGTTAACATTTTATGGATTATCGTGTCATTTCTAAAATATTGATACAGTGGTAGATGTTACTGGAATTCCTGTTTTCTCTATATATTAAGCTGAAATTTTGTTCATTATTTGCATTTTGAACTTCTTTCCTTTTTTTTTCTTCTTCAGCACAACAGAAAATGTAGCTGTCTATATCTGGGAAAGCCTCCAGAAACTTCTTCCTACAGGAGTTCTTTATAAAGTAAAAGTGTATGAAACTGACAACAACATTGTAGTATATAAAGGAGAGTAGAGATTAGGGTTAATATTATAGAAAGGCTTCATTGATTTTCATATTTGAAAAAGCTCTTTGTCCCTTTAGAATATCCAGTAGTCACCATGTATTTGTGTCTCCATGTTGTATTCTGGAATGTCTGCGTGTTAAAATAACTGTAAGGTTCATATTTAAAAGTCAGACTTACAGTGTACCCTGAATTTGTTTTTGGTGAGGAAGCAGGGGAGAGCTGAGGATTGGAGCCAGGGCCAAGCACGCCACACTAAGAGTGTCTGTTGTCTAGAGATTAAAAATGATTTCATTCTCAGCAAAATGTTTTTGTGTGGAACCATTTAAAGGCAAAATAAACACATTTTCATAGTATGTATTCTCTGTTATCTATTTCATTTCTAGCATTTGCTTTTTCTTGGTATAATATAAATAATAAAAATGTTTATGCAATTTATAGAATGTGAGCCTTAGGGAAAAATTTTAGAGGGGCATAAAGTATGGAGACTATATTTCTTTTTAAAGATTTAGTTATTTTTACTTGTGTGTGTAATGATACGTACAGCTTATTTTTCATGATATATATATATAGTTTATTTTGATGTCGTGACACATTTGCAATTTATTTGTATAGTGATCTTAAACAAATAACTCAGTTTTTTTCAGTTTAAACTTCTTATAAGAAAATGAGAAAACTGCTTACCTTATGTGGTATTTGTGGGACTTGAAAGACAAAGTACCTTTCAAAGTAATAGCAGCAATCCTGCCTTTCAATTAATCAATAGAAAATATTGCACACTAATAAAATTCTGACAGCTGAAATTTAACTAAATGGGCACTGCATTGTCAAAATTTATAATAAAAGCCCTTTATTTATTCCCCATGGATCTGTTTTTCTGCAAGTGTTCCTGGGATCATAATCAGTGTATTAGCCAACTCAATATTCATTAGATGGCAATATTCCGAGAATCCAGTATACACTAGTTGTGATGTGCAGAGAAATACAAAGCCTTATACTTAAGAAGTTTAGAATACAAACTGAACACAATATAACAGCTATTTGTGCAAAGCAAGCAAATTCATTCTTGAGAATTCAGTCATAATTAAAAGACAGAAAAGAACACTAGGTATACAGTTCAACTTATATGGGTTAACTTAGTGATCAGAGAGCAAAGCAGGATCAGTCAGGAGAAGTGTGTGTAGGAAATGCCTTACTGAGTAGCATAGGTCTTTTGTGTTGACTTACGTGGTTACTATGCAGTCTTCTAAATTAAAATTATGCAGGTGTCCATGACATCTGGAATTACAGGCAAATATAAATAACTAGTGTGTTTGAGATGATGTTCCTCAGTAGCAGCTCACATATCAATAAGAAAGTTGAGACTACAGCTGATAATGCATGTAAAGGCAGCGTTTCCATCAGTCTTGGTAAACACCATTGCACCATTCTTTACCTCACATCATGTAGGTGTCCAGTTTTCACTGAAGAAACTTGTGCCTTTTGCATAACTAGAAGTAACTTAGGGTACTCAATCTATTAAGAAATTTAGTCTCTAGGGGCTGGAGAGATAGCTCAGATATCAAGAGCACCTGTTGCTCTTCTAGGGGACCAGAGTTTGGTACCCACCATCTACATCAGGCGACCCCCAGCATTTACATCAGGCATCTCTTGACAAACTGTAACTCCAGCTCCATGGAATCCCGTGCCCCTCTTGGTCTCCACGGGCATCTACACTCTTGTCATCAGGCTTTGTGTAAGTCCTTTTACCTACTTAGAGATCTTGTTGGCCAAAAGACTACATTAGCTTATTCTATTTGTTCTATTAAAATCTGTCTGTCTATTATCTCTCTGTAAAGTGAATGAGTGAGTGGATTAGTGAATGTTCATAGAAAGGACCGAGGATACTATTCTGTATACTGGTGGCTTGTTTTTCCATGGGGAGCCAGAGGGACCAAGACTTTCTCAGGCTCTGATTAAAGGACAAAGGGAACTTGAGCCTTGCATCCTTGTCTATGAGTGGACTTGAGAAGGCCAGTCTAGTGCTGGTGCATGGCTCAGCCATTATAAGGGCTAGACTCAACCCAAAAGATAGGAACCAGATAGCTCAGTCAATAGAGTATGAGACTTTTAATCTCAGGGTCCTGGATTCAAGCCCCATGTTGGACTCCACTTAACCCAAACCAGCAGAAATGTGGGCCCTGAACTTCGAGGAGTTGAGAGGGAGGACCAGAGATGAGAAATAGGACAAAAGCAACAGCTGGGCCAGAAGGTGTTGTATAAGTTGATTTATGCCAAGCAAGTTTATTAAGAAGAACACCATCATATATACCGTTTGCAGGGGGAAATGGCTAAGGTCAGCAAAGACCTAAGCAGACACTGGTGGCAAAGAGAAAATGGGATATCTCAGATAGAGCTGCCTGAGAACTGGTAACCACAGCCCAGTGCAAAAGTCAGATCCCCAGAAACCACAGCTCTGATTCTTTCAAGGCATCAGGTCCAGCCCAATCCGGCCCTAAACTGGCCTTGCCAAGTCCGCTCCTGGGCAAGGACATAAAACTAAAACTCTTCTGTCCTTTCATTGGGGCCTTTGAGAAAGTTGTAGGTGTCTGGCTCCCCATACTTCTCTTTCAGGGGCAACATCAAACATACATTGTAATTACTGCTTTTGTTGTTTCTTGTTATACTCTTGCTAGTGGGAAATTTCTGTGGAGCAAAGCCTTTCTTCCAAGGAACATATCTAGTAAATAGCATTCAGTGACTTTTTTGTTGTTGTTAAATAGGTAAATGAATGACAAATGGTTCACTATTGAAATTTTATCACATCTAGTATGTATTTTTAGAATTAATTAACTAGAACATTTTGGGGCTCAAATGCTGGTCGTTACTGTTTAGAATCACACTCATCTCTAGGTTTAGTTCTTTTACCTGTAAATGGAATCCTTAAACTAGATATTTTCTGAAGTTTCTCATTCCTCCTTTTCTTCCTCTGTCCCCAAGCTCTTCCCAGACCCTCCCCTGGCTTTGAATTTCCCCCTCTTCCCCTTCAAGACCAATTTATGTTGCCTAAATACTTTAGGATGTGCTGTCTCCCACTGGAACACAGTTGACTTACCAGGGCCTACTCTCTTAGAGAAAACTGTCTCTCCCTCTGCCAGCAACAATTGCCAATATCATTACAGTTAGTAGTGGGATTGTGTGACCACTCCTCTCTCCATGCTGGGATTTGGTCTGGCTTGGGCTTGCACAAGTTTTGTGTATACTGTTGCAATTGCTGTGAGCTCATATGTGCAGCTGCCTAGATGTGTCCAGAAGACACTGCTTCCTTAGGGTTTTCTACTACCTATGTCTCTTAAATTCTTTCTACCTCCTCTTCTGTAATGATCCCCAAGCCGTGTGTGTGTGTGTGTGTGTGTGTGTGTGTGTGTGTGTGTGTGTGTGTGTGCATGTATGTTATAAGTGTTCCCTTCAGGGCTGAACATTTTGCAGTCTCTTATTCTGTGTACCTTGGTCAGTTGTGGATCTGTAGTCATCACCATGTACCATAAAGAGAAGCTTCTTAGATGAAGGTCAAGAGATGTGTTGGTTTATGGATATAGCAGTAAGTCAGTAGGAGAGTTTAATACTGTCTACTTAGCAGACTGCTAGTAGTAGGTTCTCTCCTAGGGCCTATGACCTGTCTAATCGTAGCCTAATAATGGTGCCAGGTATGGATTTTATCTTGTGGAGCAGGACTTAAATCCAATTGGAAAGTGGTTGGTTATTGTCATAGTCACTGTTCTATTGCTGTGAAGAGAAATCATGACCAAGGCAACACTTAGAAAAGAGAGCATTTAATTGGGGGCTTGCTTACATTTCAGAGGATTAGACTATGATCATCATGGTAAGGAACATGGTGGCTCAGCATCCTGATCTGCAGGCAGAAGACACACACACACACACACACACACACACACACACACACACACACAGAGAGAGAGAGAGACAGAGACAGAGACAGAGACAGAGACAGAGACTGAGACAGAGACAGAAACACAGAGAGAGACAGAGAAAGATAGAGACTGGGCATGGCATGGGCTTTTGAAACCTCAAAGCCCACCCCTAGCAATATGCCTCCAACAAGGCCATACCTGCTAATCCATCTCAAACAGTTAATCAGCTGTGGACTAAGCATGCAAGCTTATGAGCCTATGGAGGCCATTGTCATTGAATCCATCACAATTACTCTTTGTACCAGTGGATGTTTGTGATTCTAGTGCACTAATGCATGTATTTCCAGGTCAGTCATTATTGTAGCTTGTAGGGTTCACAGTTGTGTATTGTTAATGATGATTTTATCCTCTGGAACTGTGCATTGTACTTTCCAGTGCTATGAAAGCTAGCTAGTAGGGATGAAACTTCCAGGTCAGTACCAGTTTTATTTCATCATGTTTTCTGACTCAAGCATGTGGTATCTTTAGCAAAAAGGGTTTTTGCCATCAAATTCTGGAAGGTAACCAAGAGCAATGGCAATAGCCTGTAATGTTGAGGGGTGGGGTTGGGTCTATGGGACTTTGCTGGCCAGTAACTCCTAAAGAAGTAACCCATTCTGGCACTGGACTTTCTGTTAGCCTCTGCTGTCTAGTAGAGGCTCTTACTGTCAGAGCCCCTGTAGGTGCTGGCAATCAAACCCAGGTCTTCTGGAAGAACAGCCAATGCTCTGAACTGAGCCAACTCTCCAACCTCTTCTGCTTTTATTATGATGATTAATTTTTTAAATTATAAAGTGTTTGTCATGTAGCTCAGGCTTCTTATTGGCTAGCTCTCTCTTGATCATTAACCCATTTCTATTGATCTATGTATCTCCACATGGTCTTGGCTTACGGGTGATGCCTGGACCTCTTGCTCCCTCAGCTCCTACATGGCATCTCCCTGGCAACTCACTCTGATGATTGAATTTTTTAACACAAGCATAATAATTTATTTCACATTTATTTAGTTTTTTGGGGGGCACACATACCATGGTGTGCATGTAGAGGTAGAGGACTACATTCAAGAACTAGTTTTCTTCTTCCGCCATGTAGATTCTGGGGATCAAAACTTAGGCCATAATGTTTAAGAAGTGCCTTTACCCACTGGTCCCTGAATCTGATGACTTTAAATGCCAAATGGGTAAATGTTATTAATTAGAGAAGAAAGATGCTTACTGTAGGGTGGTAAGGTCTGGGAAAGCTCAGGGAAAGTAGAGTCCTCAGTGATACTTAATGTGGGTGGGTAACAGGCTGGTGGTTTAGAATGCAGGAGAAGAGAGGTAATGAATACCAAAGGGGTAAATGTTAGTGAGCAAAGTAAGAATGTGAGAGGTATGTTTGAGATATAGGGAGATTAGTATTAGTAG